CACAGGTTTGAGGTCGTTGTGTCAACACCTCTAACTGTTATATAGCATAAGTATATTATAGATCGTCACACATTTATAAAAGGGTGATTTTTATTTTGACAAATCAATTCCACATTTATGGGTGAAGTTTCAGGATCTTCTATTTGTGTATAATAAGGAAAAATTGGCATCTAAATTTCCCCATAACGTAATAGCACACAGCTTGGCATATGAAATATCCTACAAATGAAACAAAGCAAGACAAACCGGTTTCTAATACAAGAATTTATATTGGCTGTTGTACATGTATTATTTGAACGCAATCACTCTTTGGATAACGTTTTCAAAATCATTATAAACGGATTACTTTATCTCAAAGACAATTTCAATAAACTGGATTTTACAGAACTCCCCTTATTTCTTAAAAATGGACTGATCCAGTTGATTCGCCTGGAGCCGCCATATTGTTTTTATACGGGATGCTAATCGGAACCCTTTAACCTTGAGAACATATCAATTTTACCTTTAACCTTGAGAACATACCAATTTACCTTGAACCTTGAGAACATATCAATTTTACCTTTAACCTTGAGAACATATCAATTTACCTTTAACCTTGAGAACATATCAATTTTACCTTGAACCTTGAGAACATATCAATTTTACCTTGAACTTTAAGTACATATAAATATTACCTTTAACCTTGAGCCATCAATGATTCTTTCAAATGTTTATAATTATAGGAAATCAAATGATAATATACTTATTCCCCTGTATAATAACAATAGATGAATTTATCAATGACAACACTATTAAGGCTTGTAATTTGTAAAGTGCATTTAAAAGAGACTGTGGGGGAGGGGAAATATAATGAAACAAAAGACAACAAACAAATCCTCCTATTAATAGCCTACAATTGATGATAAATTTGTTACGTTATTAAAAGTATGTTTGTCTTATGTTGTAGTGGAAAGATTTGTGCATTCATTTATGAGCGGTATATCATAGACGGTCATTTCCTGTGTACAAGAAACGCCTACACATCTACCACTTCTCTTGCACATTGAACATCTAATTAGTGCTTCTAAAATAATTCAATTGACCGGAGCAATCTATGTGTATTATTCCAATTAATCAACAATAATTTTATTTCCAAGTGAATTATACCAGGGATATTACACTATTTATGAAAGTATAACTTATGTTTATATCAAATTCAATAAGCTATAAGTAAACTGGAATCATTGTTTCGCAACAAGTTAATCATTTGAAATTATAGAAATATAGGAACAATACAATAGCAAATCCACAGAGTATAAAATCCAAACAAACAATGCATTGTTTCTCGAAAAATCATTCACAAAAAGATTATTCAATATTTGTGATAACCTTTCTCAAAAGCTTGAGGTGAATGATATAAAGACATACTCTACATGAAGAAATCTCAAAAACAAGGTCAAGGCTTTATCAGGGAAAGACCCTTATGGGCATATACATGTAAAACAAAGACAAGTAAGCTAAAGGATATATATTTATAAAAACATGTTTATGATTACAAATATACACCTACAAAAAGTTTGTATTTTTTAGTCATCCTCATATTGAAATTGAATTCATCTGGTCCTCTAGTACTAGAATTCCAGGGCCATTTTACAATTGTTCCGCGGTCCTTCGGGAAATATCACATTCCTCCTTGGTATAAAACCCATATTCAATCCCTCCCCATAAATAACCTCAATGTTTTTGTATCCCCATCATTTCTTGGTCATAGTATTTCATTTACCCTCATATACTTATCGCCCACCAAGAGAATTGTGACATCAATTACTAATGTGAAAGTTACATTTCCATGTAATAATTTCGAGCGTGATATATCCAATGTAGACTTTCAAGCGTGGGATATCCCATGTAAACTTTTGAGCATGAAATATCCCATGTAGACTTTCAAGCGTGAGCTATCCCATGTAGATTTTCACAAATACAAGTAGAGCAATCGAGTAGGAGATTCTATAATGAGTTTTATGATTATAATATCCCTCATATCCTATTACTTCAATTGGGGCCATTCTTATAATTTGCACTTTTTGATAAAGTGTGTCTAGGCTGAGAGCAGTGTGACACCATTGGGGAAACAGGGGTGTGTAGGTTCAACATACTTTACTACAGCTACTTCATGCTTATCTCTCCTATTAAAGTTGCTACAGCAAAGAGAACAATATCATGGGAGGATCCATGCGTAATGATGACTCAAGTTCATGATCAATGTCTATTCTTTCAATGCATATTTAACTGGATTAACAACAGCCATGTAGTCAATCAAGTAACATGTTAAATCAGACCAAAAGCATATCATGAAGCTGATTGGGCAATATGTCAAATCAGACCAAAAGCATATGATAAAGCTAATTGGGCAATATGTTAAACCAGACCAACAGAATACAATGAAGGGGATTGGGCAGTATCTTAAATTAGACTAACAACATATGATGAATGAGATTGGGCAACATATTAAATCAGACCAACAGCATATGATAAAGCTAATTGGGCAATTTGTTAAACCAGACCAACAGAATACAATGAAGGGGATTGGGCAGTATCTTAAATTAGACTAACAACATATGATGAATGAGATTGGGCAACATATTAAATCAGACCAACAGCATATGATAAAGCTAATTGGGCAATTTGTTAAACCAGACCAAGAGAATACAATGAAGGGGATTGGGCAGTATCTTAAATTAGACTAACAACATATGATGAATGAGATTGGGCAACATATTAAATCATACCAACAGCATATGATGAAGGGGATTAGGCAAAATGTTAAACAAGACCAACAGCATTTAAAGAAGGAGATTGGGTTAAATTAATGTTAAATTAGACTAACAACATATGATATAGAGGATTGGGCAACATATTAAATCAGACCAAAAGCATATGATGAAGGGGATTGGGCAAAATTTTAAACAAGACCAACAGCATACATAGAAGGAGATTGGGTAATATGTTAAATCAGGTCAATAGCAGATTACAAATGTCATTTATTGGGCAACTTGTAATATGACATCAATAGCAGATAATAAAGGGGATTGGGCAACATGTTAAATCAGACCAAACAAGAGATAATATTGATGATTGGGCAACATATTAAATCAGACTGATAGTTAATTACAAAGATAATAGGGAAAAATGATTAACAAGAGCTACAGCAGACAAGGGGCACCACATTAAATCAGATAATAAAATTGATTAGACAACATATTAAATCAGATAAATCAGAAAAACACAAGCTATAAAGGTGACTGAGCAACATGGTAAACCTGACTAGTCATCCAAATCTTTGAAGATAGTACATATGACCCATGGAAATAAGCACAAACGATACCAGTATATGACTCAACTTCTAAATCCACCAGGAAATAAGTGAAACATTCTCCAGAGTCGATTACTTCCTTGAAATAATATTTCATAAAGTATTATCATGCGATAGTCTCCCTTAATTATAAGTGTTGCTTTTCAACATGTGAGCAAAAAATAACCATGTACTTGAGAATGCTTTTATCATAGCTCTTGAACTCGCTTCTATTTGGTGATTAGAATGTTGTATTAGATTGTATACGTCATAACGAAATCTTACAATTAGATAACTCCTCAGTAACAACATAGTATCTCTCGTCACCATATATGTTCACTCATTCATACTGGTCATTTCCAACGTGATCACGGTTTTCAGTTTGACATTGTGCACAGTTCAGCAAAAGTGTGATTTTATAACTCTAAACTAAAACTGCAATGATATAGCGAACTCCCTGTAAAATATATCCCGCTTGCTACTTTCAAAATGAATAGCTTCATGAATGGCTAAATTCTTTAAATTATCTTTATACTCGTTTATAAATATGCATCATCATTAAACAAGACAAGATGATACATCTCATTAGTCAGAGTCCTTGACAATGTATGGCAAAATATTAGGATTTGGGCTACAGGTTCAGTCTTTGAATCAGGTTTGTGAACTTCAGATCTTGAAAATCCAAGATGTGTAATAATGTTAATGTTACCAACGTGTCTAAAATTCAAACTGCATGGAAATTGGAAAGGAGTACAGCACGTCTCCTCAAAATGATCAGGATTTGTGCAAATTGCTCATTCGCAAGTTGCTCTCATTTACATAACTATAGAGGATACAGTGTTAAAGTCCCAATAAGTAACTCATGTACCCATCACCAAGGTGACCAAATCTTGATTGTGAGACAACAAACCAAAAGGAGTATTTTCTAGGATAAGAACATCGACAATGTGTATACATGAAACATGTCGTTTACTGTGCAAAAAGGGAAAAACTAAATCGCATGACCAAATAAAATCTAGAAACCAGCCAGTAACCTTATTTAACAATGTCAAACCTAACATCTTGTTAAATTGAAAAATCCGATCTAAGAAAGTATCAAATATATTAAGCACTTAAGAAAAACCTGTCTAGGTTGTCTTAACTTGCTAACTTTTTAGTTGATGTAATACTCATTTTCTTTTTTATCTGTATTAAAACTTGACTTTCATAATGTAATTATGGCAAATAAAGGGTCAGATGCACTATTCAGGCCTTAAAGTCACCTTGGGGAAATATGTATATACATCTTTTCTTCCTTTATTTTTTACCAAGAAAGGTGTTTAACATGTAGATCTCTCTCAGTGGGACTGAATCTGGCACCTCTCCTTAAGACACAGTTTTGCCAAGATATAGGAATAAGTAACTTGCACTTTAGTTTGCATATCCTACTCAACAGAACAAGATACCAATATATAGGAACAAGGGACATGTTCATTCATGTCTACATTTGGTTTATGCCTGGGTCACATATGCTCCGATCCATCGGCCGGCGCCCGCCCGATTGAGTGTTTTGTTCAATATTGTATTCAATTTTGAACAAAATACTCAATCGGCCGGGCGCCGTAGTGAAAATCGGAGCATATGTGACCAAGGCATTTCTCAATGGAGTAAGATATGTGAAGACACTTACCTTTGTTTTGGCAATTGGGAAGTTGAGCTTATTGAAAATGTCATGTGTGTATGTGACTCCACTGGGACTGTAGAAGACCATAAAGTCAGGTATATCCTGAAATCACAATTTAGAACAATAAATATTAAAGTTTTAACACATAATGAGATTGCATCAATGCCATTATTTTATTCAGGGAAGGGGTGGGTAAAAAATACTATTTGGTTAGAAAATGAATTGTCTGAAAGTAAATCTAGGAAATTCATAAACATTTCTCAGGGGAGTGAAGTTTCAAAGGAACCAAGAACTTTTCTCCCAGAACAGCCAAGAGTTTGATATGAAAATGGTTATTCTGCACATGTGAAATTTTTCAATCAAACATCAAGTTTACTTCAACTTGATAAGATCACCTCTTGAACTAAAAACCAAAGTTATTCAAATGATCTCACAGCTCCATATATGCTGAACATTTAGTTTCCCAAAATTGTCAAATATCACAGCAAAAAATGTGAATCAAACCACTGAATCCTGGAGTCAGGATTCATACAGGATTCATATGCACATATGAATCCTGTATGAATCCTGCCTCCAGGATTCATACAGGATTCGCTGTTTAAATAGTTTACAAATGAATCCTGCCTTCAGGAATCATACAGGATTCATATGCAATATAGTTTACAAATGAATCCAGCCTTCAGGATTCGTACAGGATTCATATAGAAGGTAGTTTGCAAATGAATCCTGCCTTCAGGAATCATACAGGATTCATATGCAATATAGTTTACAAATGATTCCAGCCTTCGGGATTCGTACATGATTCATATAGAAGGTAGTTTGCAAATGAATCCTGCCTTCAGGAATCATACAGGATTCATATGCAATATAGTTTACAAATGAATCCAGCCTTCAGGATTCGTACAGGATTCATATAGAAGGTAGTTTGCAAATGAATCCTGTAGCCAGGATTCAAGCAGGATTCATATGCAATATAGTTTACAAATGAATCCAGCCTTCAGGAATCATACAGGAATCAAACGAAAATTGGAATTGATGTGTATGTTTCTATTCTAACACTCACATTGGCGTATCGCATATATTACGCCAAATGCGCACAGGCGTACCAAATGAATTCGAAAAATTTAATAAAAATGTGTAATTATTTAAAAGTTGTTCTGTGTGCTAATTTAAAATACATTGTTTTATTTATATTGTCTTCCCCGAATGGGTATATAAACTTTAAATATACATGTAGCCATGTTTATTGAAAAAGGGACATTGGTTTTATTCGGTCCGTTTTATTCTTATTGGTATTAACTCGCAAATGTCACTACTGGAAATGGTTTTGTGTGGCCATGGCAGGGCAAGAAGGGCCCCCGAGGGTCAAAAGGGGCCGTTCTGTAAGATAACTTCTTCGGACGGGAGGTTTTTTACCACAGACTTACAGAAGTGGTGCCGTTAAAAGAGTTTCTTCTTGGAGAAGGTGCCGCCTAAATGAAACAAAGTGCAATGGCCATTGAGATCGATGCTGTCCCTGTCAGGAGATAATATCAGGCGATGTATATTTGATGATAAACAAACTTGGTGGGCCATCTTGCCCAATGGTTCTTCTTATCCTGGGTCTCTCACTCCGCTCCTACGCCCATTTCTCATTTCTTAATGCTAATATAGAATGCGTCACGTGTTATGAAAGATTAGTAGGCCTCAATATTACAATTTGAACCCGATTTTGAAGCATCCTTCAAGATCGGTCCTTCACTGCTTTCATAGCAGCTCATGAATCTCACAATGCAATGAATTACTCTTGGGCCGCAGGGATGATTTTGAAGCACCCCTGTAAGCCTTTAAATTACATTGAAATGATAGGCCCTAGGATAGATACGATCAATAATTCATTGGGGGTTCGATTTGGTATCTTTGGTGTTTGCTTTGGAATAGCCTAATCCCGGGGGAATAATCACGAATCTCGCGAATCTACCCGGGGAATCTACCTTACGTGAAAGTTAGTTAGCCTACATTCTATTGACAACGTAACATTCATTTGTCATCGTGACCTGCAGGTCATGCGAACCATCAACATGCAATGGTGTATGTTTACAAAAAACTGGAAATCAGGAGTTTTATTAAGACGGGACTTCCCCTTTTTATGTCACCACCAAAAGTGGTCACATATTGTTAAAGTCTCCAACTTTTTTATGTACGGTGTTTAGCGTCTGGGGTCGGCGTTCAGCGTCTGTAACAAATGGCGGGTGGTGACATTTTTCATGTTTATGCCTTGTTTAATATTTAAGGCTCCAAATGAAATATGATATCTGATATCATCATGATGTTATTCTTATTATATTATTCTGTTTTGCAGGTGCCAATGAGTATGACACACAAGCAGTGACAATTGAGTTATAGCCCAGGGAGTTCAAGTTTATGCATCTTGCCTCAAGTAAAGTGTTAGTCCTTAAAGACAGGACTGTTGGGGAAATGGCACAGTTGCTTGATGCAAGAGTAAAACTTTGAAATAACCATAGATAATATTACAATAGATAAAAGTTTGGCATGCATTATTTTTTTTCGTTTCATTATTAGATTTGAGAGCAGGTAGACGTATACAGCAGTGCAGTGAATTATGTTTGTATTTTAAGAAGTTGTTTTTCAGGTGTGACCAGCGATGATTGCAGGCATGAATACACTTTAAATATATTTCCTAACATATTCCTTCAGTAAATACACCCGTTTGCATGTTTTAAATAAGCCGTAAATAAAATGTTTAAACTTTGTTAGCATGGTCTATAATCTACAACGACCGTCAACCTGTTTAGGTTTTGATTTGTTTTGTTGAAATTAGATTAAGAAATTAGTCTTTCAAATGTCACCAGCATGGGCGTAGCCAGGGGGGTGCGATGGGTGCGATCGCACCCCCCCCCATAACCTTTGAAAATATGACCATTGGATAGAGGTAGAAAAGAGCTTTAAAATGCTTTTTATTTGAAGCTTCTAGCTCAATTTTGAAGGAAGTTGCATCAATTTTTGTAAAATTCAAAAGAAAACTTAATTTTTTGTGTTGCTTATGGCAAAATCGCACCCCCCCCCTGACCGAAAACGAAAATTCATCGAATTGTTATTTTTCGAATCATTTCCATTTCGTTACATAAGTTATTTGGAATAAACTTAATTTCAGCTAAAATGCAGGGTAGTGCATGGCTGTTTTTGAAAATTTTTATTTTAACCTTTTGTTGCTTATCACCGTATTAATTATGAGCACAAGTTTTTATGTTTGTTTATTTGTTTTTATTTCTTATACAAGTACAAGTAAGTTATACATTGCAAGTCACACCCGTAGCAAACCCTACATTGCCTTACAAAGTTAACATGAGCAGTTTCGAGAAACATTAGAATATGGGAGGGGTTCAAGAAGAGACCCGGTGTAAAAGGGTAGGAGGTCAAGACAGTATCTGTTGGAATGTTATATATTTCCCTATCCATTATATGATAGGCGTATGCATGAGTGGAGGGTTGTGGAAATAGGGCCTCGTGAGAGATACATGTACTTGACAGTCAGTAATTGTTTACACCCCCCCCCCTTCCTTGAAATGCTGAACTAATGTGCTTTTTGTTCATTGAAACAATACGAAATCAAAATTGATTAGTTTCCTAATTACAATAAAAACAAACGGCTGATTAGAAGATTACAGTGACTGTTTCCCGTCATTACATAACAATGTTGAAGGTGGGCAAAGGAAATCGAGTCTGTATTGATCTAGTTAATAAGCATGATACGTGATTATAAACGTAGAGTAAAGGAAATGCCAGGATTTTTTTTTAGCATTCTCATTGTAATCAGAACTATGTGAATTTATACCATTCGCTTAGACATGGGCTAAAATTTTGATTCTTTTCAGCCTAATATTATATCCAACAGCATTAAATGATCAAACTCAATTATTTAGTAAAACTTCAATAAGGGATCACATGAATTTCGATACAGCGGTAAATGAAAGTTTTATGCTTATTATGCGGGAACTATGAAATATTAGATTTAATTACCTAGGTACCGTATTCGAGGGGACATTTTATCCTTTTTAGATTTTATATCGATTTTGACATTTTTGGCCTCTGGCTATGAAATATGTCTCTGATATTTATGTATTTCCCGAGAGAAAATTGGACATTTGCGGGGCCTGATGCAAGACTAGTTATCTGTTTTCCTGGCTTGTTTGAAATGGATAAACTTTGTCGTATGTTTCAATGAAGCCCATGTGGGACTGTAGACCTAGAAATTCATATTTATATACTATAGATCGAGATAGAATAGTAATACAAAATATAGTATTCCAATTTCCAGTATCATAATAGACACCAACTTTTAAATCCTAGTAACAGATTTAGAATTCCTATTTTAAAATCAAGAGTCAGTTTAATCAGGAATTCATTGATCAAATGCGATCGAGATAGACTGGCGGACAGGATGAGCTGGGATGCAATCAGGAAGGCGCTCAGTTGTTTATATTAATTATTGGGTCTTATAACACCTTAGTATAGTATACCCCTCCCTCCCAAATCACAACTTCGCAACCACCGTCAATTTTATAATCAAATCCCTTTCCCTCACTAATGCAAATACATGAATAAATATAATATTGGAGTGAATTGCATGCGTTTCGAATGAAGTTATCTTTGTAGTACTAGTATTAATTTGTTCAAACAAGTTTACAGAAGATAAATGAAAGGGGACAAAGGGAAACACAGGGGCGTAGTCAACTTTCAGTCAGGGGGGATGCGATTGCCCCTTAAAAATTCGATTTTCAGTCAGAATGGGGTGGGGGTGCGATTAGCAAGCCACAATATTTTTTTAAATAATAAATCAAAACAAAGCTTTTTTTAAATTATGAATGTAACATTTAAAGATTAGACTGCAGCTTCTTGAAAAGAAAGCAGAACGTGTCATCACCGCCAACATAGAGAGCAACGTGTACTAATTATAAGTATCTGAAAGATAACGCAAAAAAACTTAATTATTAACTTTCAAGTCTTAACAATTTAACATGTAACTGTAACATGTAACTGTAACATAACACATATATCGCCTCGAGGGGTCATTTAGCTTGATGAATAACCCCTCTGGTATT